CCACAGCTCTCCACGCACTGATTCGTACTTGGGGCAGTCCAAAGGAAAAGCCCAAAGGCAACGGATGCAGCGTGCTTGCCCACCTGTCATGAGAAGTCGGTCCTCCTTGGGCCCAGCTGTCACGTTCACGACGTTTGAAAATAGGTAGGCGCGGCCGTGCCTGCCAGCAGACGGCACCAAAGGCGAGCCACAGGCGTGCGGGAGCGCGGGGGAGGAGTGGGCGGACGAGGGCCGGGGTCGGTGGTTGGAGTGAGCGTGGGGAGGGGTGGGCGGGGCTGGGATCCTGGCAGTGGTGCGGCTCCCGCTGACGGGGCGCCGGGGCCAGGCGCGAGAGCGTCGCGTGGCTCGTGTGATGCAGGGGCGGAGGCAGATTTGGGTGCCGTGAAGGCACGGCTCGCGAGACCAGTGGGCATATGTATGCGTGTGGGCTTGAAATGTGTGCGTGTGTATGGGTGTGCGCGCATGTGCACGCACGTGTGATGCGTGCACAGCGCCTCCCTGATTCACACACACACGCACACACACGCACGCACGCACGCACGCACGCACGCACACACACACACAACCACAGACACGCTCCATCGGTCGCCCATGCGTGCAGCCACGTGCACCGCCCCCACCTGCCCTGGAAGGCCTTTGAAACAATGTCGTCCATATCAGCGGCGTGCGCGCCGCATGAAGCACACGAGTAGATGCGCGGGCCGCCCAGGTACTGCCTGAACGGCCGGCCCATTGGCGCGGCGGTGTCCGCCTACTGGGCACTGGGTGTTTAGGCGCGCGGGCGGGCCGGCCGGCCACCGGTGGCTGGAGGGGCTGGATTTGGTGGTGGCAGGGTCGGCAGGGCCGGGCGCGTGTGGGCGGCGGGCGCGAGCTTGCCGGCAGTGTAAATCTAGGGGGCGGGGACAGGGTGGGGTGGTGAGATGACGTTGATGTAATCAGGTCAAATGACGGAGCGTAAACCGCGTGCTCCAAAAGGAGCGCGGTCAGCGCACCGCGGCCAGCGGCGGGTCGCAAAGCTGAGCGCGACCATGGGACCTGCCGCAGCGACAATGCGATCTACAAGCTCCAGATCTAACGACCATTTTGCGAGCTTTGCTTTGCATCGCAGGGCCCGAGCTCGCCGCGTCCCCGTTGCACCTGTCAGTCAGGGCGCCTGAAGGCGATACATTCAAAAGCGCGCGGCGCGCAGGGTATTATACACGGGCCGAGGCCTAGCGACAGCCTTAGATGCAGGGAGGTCCCGCGCCACCTTGACGCATCTCGCAAAGCGTTGCTCGCGCGATCCAAAGGGTTGCATGCTCTTGAAAACATCGCCTGCAATTGAACGCACACTTTTCTGCTGGTGCTGCGGCACCACCTGCCCGCATGCAACCCGAGTCAGATGTGAAACAGCGCGCGCGGCGTTTGGCGCCATGCTGCGGTTGCATGCCGCCAGCGATGCCTGCAATACCACCGCTCAGCCGCGTTGCGAATCAGGACGCCCGGACGCATGTGCAGCCGCGTGCGCCCAAACCATGCGGCGCAGGCCGACCCGATGCATGTTGCACATGTGACCGCAAATTCGGGGCGACGACGGGTGCGGCTGTCTCATTTGGGAACTTCGAAGAAAGTTATTTACTAGGTTTTGGGCAATGTGCTTCCGACATTGTGGGATTATTGTTGTATGGGGTGCAGCGGTCTCAGTCGAGGTGCCTTCCCCAGTTGGGATTTTCACCTGTGTGGTGAGGAGACGCAGATGCAGGACGTGCTGGCTTACACAATACCACTGGTGATGTAGGTCAATGAGGATTCAGGCAGTCAGGTGTGCATCCTTGCACCGAGGGCCGCCTGACTAAGATGGACGAGTGGACCGATGCGTCCATAATGACATCAGCATGTAGCGGCGCGATCTGCAGGGCCATTGCTGGTCGCTCCGTTGTATGTGTTGTTTTCAGTCTACATTTGAGATCATAAGTATCAGTCGACAGAGCAAACTTGGCTTCACAGCGTCCGTCGCGATGTTCCGCATCTCCCTCTCCTCGCTCGGTTGGGCCCCGCGCCTCTTGCCCACGTCCTTGAAAAGCTTTGCAACCCCAGCAACCACCAGCCATCAGCATGACGTCAAGCCAGCCTCGGCGCCGGGCGGGGCGCCGCAAGCAGACCAGGTTGCGTCGTCATCCAGCGCAATCGCCGAGATGGACCCCGGCCTCCCTGCGCCTGCAAAGAATCAGCACGACTACACTCAAGCCATGTGGGTGGATTTTTTTGCACAAACTCACATACACTTGCTACAGTACACTCATGCGTCCCTGCCTTCGCGCCCGCCCGCAGCCGCCCCCCGCCCTGCCCGTGCCGCGCACGCTTTGCATGCTGCGCGCCTCCGTTTGACTCCCCCGCCATCCGCCAATAACCATCAAACGTCCACGCCAGGGAGCAAGCGTACCGCCTCTCGGCCGACGCCGCCAGCGCTGCCCCGTTCGGCGAAATCGGCGTCGCGTCACAAGTGCCTGCAAGCCTGCGCGCCGACCACTTGGCCACCATCGTCGCCGCCGGGCGCTCGCGCACACCCAACGCCCCCAAGTGGAACGTGTGAGTCGCCCACGCGCAGCGCAGGCGCGCCGCGGCTTTCACGCTTGAACGCCCCGGTTGATGGCGGGGACGGGGTGTTGTTGAACCGCCTCATCCGCGGCCGGTGCTGCCAGCGGACACGGGAATGTACCTGCCAAAGAGCGGTTGCATGCAAGCGGCGGGTTCAGGTACTGACAGGCCGAACGCCGCTGAACCTTGACGGCAGGCGCACAGCCCCATCTCAAAGCCGCGCTTTGATGCATCCTGACCATCTTGGGCCCCTCAAGACGCTGCCCGAGGCATCCCTGCCTGCATGCATTCGCGCCTATCTGCCGCCCGCCGCGCGCATGCAGGCGCTTCAATCCGCTGCAGAAGTGGACCAACCAGCTCATGGGGTGAGGGGGCGCGGCGCACAGTAGCCATGATGAGCCAACGTGTGTGCAGGCCGCCGGCGCGACGACCTCGGCCCCCCTCGCGTGAATCGAGCCCCCCTAGCCGATAGCCGCCCACTGGCCAGCGCACGTGTGTGTCCGTCTTGACTGCCCGGGTTGGACGACGCGTGCATGCCCTTTTCAGGCGCGCCGGCGACTGTCCCTCCGCCGCTCGGCTGCAAATGGCAGGTGGACCAGCACAGGTGACCCGATGGAGAGCTGCCCGGAAGCTGCCCTCTGGTTCCACTCCAAGGAGCAGGTGCAGGGGGGGGGGGCAGCTGCTTGTGTCGGCTGGGCTGATGGAAACACGCGGGGTGGGCGCGGGCCGCCGCAGCTGCGCTCCCGGAGTCGTCGAGGGTGCTGGGTGTTGCTGCGGGCCGGCGGGGCGGCGGTGGCGGCACGCGTGGCAGGCCCCAGCCAGCAGCTCCGGTAGTGGTGGCCACGGCTGGCTGATCAGGGGAGTTGGCCGGGCACGTGTCGCGGCGCACAGCCCATGTTGACTGTGAGTCAGCAGTTGGTGAGTGTGTGCACCTGCAACATGTGCCATATGCCAGGCCCCGAGGCACCATGAAGACAGAGCGCGCCGGCTGGGTGCTTGAACCTTAGCCGGCCGGCTCCACAGACTGCAATTCTGTGCAGAACCGCTGCATCATCCGCGCCGGGCCGCAGCAGGCGGCCAGACCGCAACTCGATGTGAAGTGGTTGCGAAGTTGGGCAGCAGTCGACGAGACGATCGCGTCTCCTTTGGTCCGGGCGCAAGTGCTGCTCATGCCCCGCCCCGCCCCGCTCCCCCCGCAGGCTGTGCGCTTCTGCGAGCGGCAGGGGTGGCGCTATGAGGTTGAGGCGGAGCAAGTGGGCAGCATCAAGCGGCAGCGGCGCTTCGCCGGCTACGGAGACAACTTCACGTGGGTGCTGGCTCAGCATGGCGCGGCGTGTATCGGATTTGCTGCTCATTCGCGCCACAGCCGCGGAAAGGGGCAAAGCCAGCAGCCGGCCGCACCGCAACCTGGGGGACGGAGGACGGAGGGTGTGCCGCCGCTCGGGCCGCACGGACCCTCCGTCTTTCAAACACTTCCGCACGGAATCCCCACGGCCGCGTCCGCGCACTTGGAGTCGCCCGGTCCTGACGCTCCCAAAGCGAAAATACCCCACGCACGCCCCTACCGTCGACGATGCGCCCCTGCCTCCCAATCCACTCAATATTTGACCTGCAGGGTCAAGCGCGGCGGCGTGCCAGACCTGACGCACCTGCCCTCCAACGCCGCCGCGAAGGGCGAGCCCGGGCCCGCGGCTGACCAGCAGGCGGGGCGGCCGGGGGCCGGCGGCGCGGCGGCCGCGGGGCGCGCGGCGGGCGGGGCTGCCGTGCGGGGCTGAGGGGCCGCATCGCGGCGGCTCGCGACTCGGGGCCTCGTCGTGAGGCCGTTTCGCGCTGGGTGCTGATTTCCGCATTACGCTGTTGGTTGCGCCAGATCGCTGAGTCTCTGCAGAGCCAGGTAGAGCTTTGGAAAATTGTTTTCGGGGCCGCCGCACCTGCGTGCCACATCGCTTCCTTGTTACATCCACCACGCCACGGTTGTATATGTATGTCAGCAGAAATCTTGTTGAATCGCTCGGCGGCTACCCTTCTCGCACGCAGCCCTCAGCGTAACTGCTGGCAGCCAGCGGCCGCGCGCGAGAGCAGGGGGATGGCGGTGGTGCTATATGCCGTCCCAAACAAACACTCAAACAAGCCCGACCCCCGGACAAGCGCGCCGGTCGCGTCCCGTCTGCGCGGGGCGCAGGCGGGCGGCGAGCGGCGCTGCGGTGCCAGCAGACGGCGCCGCGGCGCCATCAGCGCGCTGAAACGCAGCGCCGGCGAGCGGAAACGTGCCCGCAAAACTCATCCAAAGCTAGAGTCAACCCAAGGTGAAGCAGTCGGCGCAGGGCGCCACACAAGAAACTGCGGGACGGCCCGCGACTTGCGGAGCCGCGCCCACGCGCGCGCGCGGGGCACGCCGGCGTGGCCGCGGCCCCTGCAGCACGGCGCCGCCGCCGCGCCGCGATCGATTGTGTCTTCTCGCTACCAACAGACAGGCCTTCTCACCACCCACTGCGGCGATCGCGCAGTCGTGCACCCGCCCGCCTCAATAAGTGTCCAGGCATCGCCTCGGGCTGCCTCCCATCACACCTACTCCCACCCCGCCACGCAGCCGTGGCACCGCCGCGGCTGCGCAGCCGCCGGCCGGCCCAGGCCCTCCGCTTGCACGCCCCGTCTGGGTACCCCGTCCCGCCCCGCCGCGCCCCGCCACAGAGCCTTACGCCTTAGCGAGCTCCGCCGGCGCCGCCGACTTCTGAACGCCGAACGCGCGCGCGACGACGACGAAGCTGATGCCGCCGATGACGTTGTTGATGGCGCGGATGATGGCGGAGTAGAGGCGGAACGCGGCCTGGGGCATCAGCTTGACCAGGACCTGGCAGGGGTGCGTTTCGGGGGCGCGTGGGAGGGTTCGTTTCAGGAGGTTGCTAAACAGGTCTCAGGAGGAGGAGGAGCATTTTTTTCCGGGAGATAGGGATTGTTGTTTTAGAGGATTGCAAGGCTTGTGAGGTAAAAGGGGACTGATACTGTGAGGAAACCTGAGGAGAGCCTGTTGGCTGTGGGCTCCTGCAAGTGAGGGCCATCGGAGCTGCCCAACAAACATAACGGGTGCAGCGCCACGCCGCAAAGAACACTGTCAACACAGGTGGGCAGACAAGCATAAGGGTCTTCTGGGTTCCAGTCTGTTCCTCCTGAACGCGGGCGCTGCCGAAGTCAGGGCAGGCGCATGCGACCGCTCCAGGCAGCCGCGCGCGTGGGCGCCCTAGTGCCAGCCGCGGGTGCTGCCCTGCCCCGGCGTGGTTGGCCCGTCGTGGCCGGCGGCGCTCTCACCGTGTCTGCGCCTCCCAGCAGCTGGTACCGCAGGTTGCTGCTGAGGCCCATGTGGAAGGACCAGCAGGCCGCGTTGCCCAGGATGGACGGAGCCTCGTTCTGCGCGCGCGCGTGTGTGTGGATGTGTGTGTGTGTTTGTGTGTGTGTGTGTGTGTGTGTGTGTGTGTGTGTGCGCGCGCGGGGGCACGAATGGAGTTGAGACAACAAGTCCTAAGCAAACCCTGCCGCACACCAGCAAAGGAGACTGGGGGCTGCACGTGGTCAGGGGCTGCGCACGACGCCGCAGCTGAAACCCACTGCATACCGACCGCCCCACCCACCCAGCTAGCACGCCAGCTGCCCAATCGCCTGCACGTCACACGCTCAGCCGCCCACCCAGCCGCTTACCCAGCCGCCGACCAACCTGTCACCACCCGTGCGCCCACGCCGCCACATACCCGGCCACCCACCTGCGAGACAAAGGTCGGGTCCAGCTTCTGCCGCAGCGCCAGCAGGCCGTTGCTGATGGAGGTGCCCACCACGCCTGCAGGAGCAAGGGGCGGCCGCGGCGTGGCTCAAAAGCAGGCGGAGGCCAGTGCGCTTTGCAAAGACGCCTTTGCGCGCAGCTCCTGGCACGTCTCCTGCTCTTGAGCAGCTTGCCTTCGGCGTCGAGCCCGGCTGCGCGTCATGCAAGAGCTGCCGCTGCACGCCACGCGACCGCCCAAGCTTCGTCGGCGCCGGGCGCCGCGCGGCCGGCGACCTCTGGGTGCTGCGAAGAACTCTCACGCCGTCCGCTGCGCCGCCGACACCCCTGCCGCATATCACACTCGGTGCGATGCGTCGACAGGACGCTCCCCAGCCGTACAGCCTCGACTGCAACGAGGCCTTCACGCTCGCATGCACGGCGCGACCGCCCACATCGCACCAACGGCCCCGTGCAGAGGCTGGCACCACGGGTGGCCGGCCGTATGACGTCACCGGCCCCGAGGCGCCACCGGCCCCGTCATGTCACCGGCCCCCCTCACCGGCCATCATTCCGATAACGCTGAAGATGGCGCCCTTGTAGGCAAAGTTCACCAGCCGCGACTTGACGCCAAAGCCGGCCTCAAACATGTTGCCGCCTTGGGTGGCCGAGGGCGTCCGTTGGGCGCGCCGAGGATTGGATGGGCCGGCAGGGTCACGGGAACAAGAGCAAAACGCCCGGCCGGCCGCAAACCAGGGGCCGGCCCCTGGTTTGCTCAGAAGCGTCCGAATGGCGGGGGCTGGCTCTTGCCCCAGCCAGGCTGCCAGCCAACCCCTGGCCCGGCTGCGCCCGGCAGCCTGTAAAGCCATAGGAGCGGCAGCCAAGCAGCGCCACGGCGCGGCGGCGCCCGGCCCGGCCGGCGGCCCCCACCTGGCGCGCCCCACTTCTTGAGGAACTCGTCGCTCAGCAGCCGCTGCAGGATGCCGCCGCCGGCCGCGGCCGCGCCCGCGGTGGGGGCCAGCAGGTACATCAGCGAAAAGTTGATGACGCTGCCCACCACCAGGGTTGCAAACACAAAGTCAAGCTCGTTCAGGCCCCAGTTGGGGCGGCTGGACATGTCGCCGATGACGGAGGCGCCAACCCCAATGACCTATGATTTTGGGGTGTGTGGCGGGGCGGGGATGGGGGCGGGGCGAAACGGGGTGCGTGGTGCTGGCGCGGAGCGCCCGGCGCGGCGGCTGGATGCGTGCGCGGGCTGGCGCGGCCCGCCGGCGGGGCCGGCCGTGCCAGCTGGGGGCGTGTCATCATCCGTCCATTAGTAATGTGCATCATCGTTTGGGCTTCGGGGGCCTGGCTTCTGCAGCACTCGCCTGCTCCAACAGGACCTTGAAGGGAAACTCAGGGTCGTACGCCACGCGTTCGCGCCAGCCTGCCAGCAGAGGGAACGCGGCGATGCCGCCCTTGCCGCTGTCGCTCGCATCGCCGCTGCTGCCATCGCCGCCGCCGCCGCCGCCGCCCCCCCCACCGCCGCCCCCCTTGCCGCCCAAGTTGCCGCCGATGCTGCCGCCACCGGAAGCTGCCCGAGGGACAAAACTGGGCTTCCTGCGTAGCAAAATCAAGGGGCAGCAGCACCCCATTGACCGTCCACTGTACGTAAACGATCTCAGCGCCATTCCGGACAAGGCAGATCCGACCCCGTCTCACCTTGAGTGCGCAAGGCCGTTAACCCGCGATGTCAATCGTCCAGCCACCCGGTCCAGAGCACAAGGGCGCCGGAAAGCAATGGAAGCGGGTGTGCCAGACGCCCTGTGGACGCCCGGCATGGACGTGGGTCCCATGGATTGTTGCATCTCGACCTTACAGCTGGCTCGCCTAGTCTGCGGTCGCGCAGATCGATTCGCTGCTGCTGCTTTGATCGACAACCGACATGCAACGGCGAGCTATCCGAAAACTTAAAGAATCGGCAATCAGATTGCTTCGATACGGCACATTTTCAAAGAGAGGAGCCCGTGTTGTGACACTCGTCAGCTGGCGCTGTCAGGTGGTCAGCTGGCACACACGGCCACAGCCGCTGCGGCCGGCTCACACCATGCACTGCGCATGGACGCTTGGGTCCGCATTCTCCTACCTGCAAAATTGAAACTCCAGGGGGGAGTGCAAAGCAGGGAGGTTGCCCGCAAATTCCAGCAGGGTGGCCGTGGCTGGGTGCGTGACTCACCCCCCGGCCCCCTTGCACACCCCACCCCACAAGCCCACTCGCAGCGAGGGAGCATTGGGACCGCGTCTCGATTTACAGCGTCAATAGAGAAATAGCATGCACCTCAACCACACCATGGCGCAGCCCATACAGGGCAGCCCGCCCCGTCACGACTGCTCCCATTAGTACAAGCAGCAGCTGCTAGCCGCGCAGGTGCAGAGCCAGATGCGGAGCGGGGGGCCCGTGCACGGCGGGGCGGCCGCGCGCCGTGCATGCGCGCGAGCAGCAGGGCCCAACCCGACCTGCCGAGTTGTGGTGCATGCAGCCCCATGCGGGGCCGGTGCAGCGCGGCGCCCGCGGCGCCCAGGGCCGAATGGCGGCGTTCTAGGGCTGTGGGTGGCGGGCTGAGTCCGAAATTGCCCCATTGGCAGAAAGGAACGCTGTACATCCACATGCGTGAGCGTAATCACAGGCCACCAACACACGCACACACACCAACTCCTACGACAGTTGCTTGCAAATACACGCATTTTTGACCTGTATCAGGGCAGCAGGGGACAACACTCCGCCCTGGCGCACGGGCGGGCACGCAGCACACAGCATCCCTGGGGGAATCGCCCCCTGCTCGACAACTAATACCAAGGCCGCGGCACCGGGGCGGGGCGCGGCCGCGGCCGAGACCAAAATCGTGATCTCAATCTGACACGCCCCAGCCAACGACCGCGATCTGGCGCCTGGTCAGGGGCCCCCGGGCGCCAGCTCAGCGCCGCGCGGGCACCTCCACCACCTCTGTTTCCTCCATCGATGACGTCACCGACAGCTCCCGCATCGCCACCTGCCGCGGCTGCCCCTTTGCCTCCCCCTGCTGCTCCCGCCCCTGCGGCCGCTGCCCGGCCCCGGCCGCCGCCGCCGCCGCCGCCGCCGCCGCCGCGGGCCGCGCGTCGGCGCCGCTCTCAACGTTGCCATCAGCCGCCTCCTCAAAGCTCATCATGCTGCCCGCAGGGCTCTGCGCCGGCGTCGGCAGCTGCGCGCGCACGCGCGCGAGCACCGGCGCGCGCAGCGGGAAGAGCGTGTCAACCGGCACCCCCGCGCGCGCCGCGAGCGCGCCCGCGACGGCATCCGCCACGTCCGCCGCCACCGCCGCCGCCGCGGCGCCGCTCTCTGCGTCGCCGGCGACGGCCTGCAGCGCCGCCGCGAGCTCGCGAGTCTGGTCCCCGGGGTTGGCAAACAGGCCGAAAAGCAGGGATGCGTCAGGGGCATCCAATTGGGCCGCGGGGACACCGAGAACGCCGCCGGCGAGCTCGATAAGGGATTGCAAATACACGCCCTCCTCCGCATCCAGCGGCGGCGCCAGAAGGTCGACCGCCGCCTGCAGCCCGATCAGCCCGAGCCCGGGCACGAACACCGGCGGCGCCGGCGGCAGCGGCAGCGCGCCGAGGAGCGGCAGGCGGGGCGCGAGGGAGGGCGCGAGCGCGAGCGCCTTGCGGGCGCGGTCGCGGAGGAGCAGGTCGGCGCCAGTGGAGAGCCAGGAGACGAGGAGGGGGCGGAGGTCCTTCGCTTCGGGGGACAGCACGAACCGCAGCACCTGGCGGGCGCGGCGGGTGCGGGTGCAGGCAGTGCGAGGAGGGCGGAAGCCGGGGGGTCAGAGTCACGGGGGGTTGCAACTGGGCCGGTGCGGCTCTCGTCGGCAT